ATTTTTATACAATTATTAAGTCAACAATTGAAACACATGTGCAGTTAAAGACAAAAGTCAACAGGAAACAACCGATGTGGTTTAAAATGTCATTGGTTGAGTTGAAAAACAAGGTCAGCAAAGCACATCAAAATAAAAAAAGGCTCAACACACTTGAATCAATTGTTTCTTTTGTTCTTGTTTTTGTTGCTGTTTCTTTTTTTTTCGTTCATTTGTCCGCTTGTTTCTTTCTTTCTTATTCATTTTTTTTTCATCATCTTCTTTCTTTTCATCTGTATTTGAACTGTTCACGTTTTTTTTTGTGTTTGTTTCGTTGTCTTTTGTGTTTCTTGTCGCTGTTGATGTACTTGCGCCAACGTTATTTCCACTGTTTATCTGATCATCGACATTGTTTTTTGTTTCTTTGTTTTGTTTTTGATTAATTTCAGTCAACAGCACTTCTTTAAGTTCATTGATTTTTGTTTTAATCATTTTTCAAGAGTGTCATAATTTATTGGTTCCATTACATCATGAAAATCATCCTCGTTTTCATTGTTTTTAAACTTTTGTTTGCATTTTTCACATGACAACCCAACACAAATGGTGATTTTCCGTCAAAAAAGTCATTTAATTTGGCTTGTGCACTTTCAATGTCAATTGTTTCATACATTTTTCATTGGTTTTCAGTATTTCTGTGCATAATTCCCAGAAAACCCATAAAATCTTTAATTTTTTCGGTTTTATTTCGTATGCACTCAATGAAAAATTTTTGCTCACATATCGCGCACAAAACAAACAAACCCTTGTAATACACACCGGTGCACATGTTGTCAACACAAGAATGAATTGTCATTTTTTTTATATTAAATAACAACAAAAACACGAACTGAAATTTTTCAACACTATTTACTGTTTTCATTTTCCAGTTTTTTGATAAAACTTCACTGTTTCCTGCTGTGTTTTTTCTTGTTCTTCAATTTAATATCAGTTGTATTACTATTTTATTTGTTTTTTTATTTTTAAAATCGGTTTAATTAATTTTATTTCCCGCGATGAAAAAAGTGCAACCTGTCAAATCAACTGTCAAATCAACTGTCAAACTCAATCCCCAATATTCATTCATGTAACACTGGAACAGCTCAACATCATTTGTCCAGATCAAGTCGAGCATACGACCATTTTGGTTGTAGCACTAGTTTATCTGGAGAAGACCAAGATCATAGAAAAAGTGCACATTAAAAAATCAAACATGTTACATATAGATATGAATTAAATGGCTCTGAATGTGATATTTCATGATATTCTATCGATTTTAGCATAAAATATATTACTTAAAACCGATTGAATGTCACTTTTGGTTCTTCATAAAATGATCCGTTTTATATTGCGAGTTGAAAACATACATTCACCTCAGCCAGTATAGCAATGCGCAAATCAGGCCAGAACGCTTTCAAACAGCATTGATATTGTCATTACAGTCAAAATTGATTGAATTTAGTCATTGAAATAGGTTTAGAAGTGAATTATAGTTCGGCAAAATCATGTTTCATATTCATATTTTGGCCCCATGTTCATTGCTCACAATTTGCTATGCAAATGACAGTGTTCCAGCTATACGATGCGTTGAAATGGTTGTACACCAAAGTGGAATCACATAAGTTTTGCTCTGAAAGTATTCTAACTTCAAATGAGATTATCTTCAAACTTCAGATTTATGGAGGTCTGTTGTACTTTTGGTACAAAACCTTCATTTTTGTTGATGAAAATTTTGCATGGAAATGTGTTTTATTTTCTTCCAAATCGTTCGAAACTTCACCAGTGGCAAGTGTTTGATAGAAAATGACGATTACCATCAATTTCTAGTCGATATAGTTGTGCGAAGATATATTTATTTTAACTGAAAACGTCATTTTTCAATAAATTCACATGACCTACCGAGCTCTCGCGGCGTTGAGCTACCGGCATGAAACTTTACACACGTTATTTGCACACCATATGAAAAAGTATTCCTAGGTAGAAGCGAAAAAATTTCAACTTTTGTGTTTTGGGGTCCAGTCTACTACGCAATATTAACATTTTGTATTTATATGAACGAAAGCTTTTCAGTATTACGTCACAGTAGGAATTTCGAGTAAAGTGTAAAACTATCAAAATTTACATGTAAAACTTTAGTTCCCAAAAAAATCCACTATCTCGATGTTAATATTCTCGATGGAATATGGTGTGCAACCACGATGTGTTTTTTTTTTAACTTTCTGGAGGTTTCTTTTATTTTTATTAATGAGGTAACTAATGATTAGGATTATAGTAATGAAAGAGTTTACTTACTTTGGTGTATACGCCAGCACTGCTTAATTCATTTTCAATCACCATCACTACGATACCAAACATTCCCATTACCAACGCGTAGTCACTAATGCGTTTTCGTTTTTCAAATAAAGCTTTTCGTCTACCCAAACGATAGCCAACGTTTGGTTTATTTTTTTGACTAGCATTTGATCCACCTGGTGGTTTAATAAGACCGCCGTGACCACTCAGACCTCGCTCCTCCATGTACCTTAAGATAAAATTGTACACAACAAATTAATTCTAAAAGCAATTTTTGTGTGGAATAATTATTTTGTGTCACTTGTTAACCTTATACTACATTCTATTCACCAGAAGCTAGTAAGTATCTGATAATAATAATATATTGTGTGTATCGATTAATTTCCGGAATCTGCCAACAGATGTCACCACTTGCTTGTGCGTTGTAGTAGATCAATGACATATACGTCATTTGAAAGGCCTATTCAAATACTGTCAAAATCAGTCAAAAATGTTTCAGTGTGTGCATCATATTTTTTTTCAACGATGGAAAATTTTGAAAGTTCGAGAAAAAAACATAATTCGCGGGGGGCAAAAATGATAATGTCACAAAATGGATAAAAATGTTATACGAGCACAGTGATGTCAATGATAGTGTAGAATGGACCCTTCTCAATAGCTTGGAGCAAAGAAGAAAAAAATCGATTCAATCCAACCACAAAAAATCGGCTGGGGGCAACTACCCCCCAATTTTGGGGACTTTTTCAATATTCGGTCCAATCGGAAAGATGCTGTGCATCAAAAAATGCTGAAACTTATCTGAAATTATAGAAATGGTGCCTGCCAATAATAATTAGTCGATTCGAGTCCGTTTCGAAAGTAAAAGAAACGAAAAAAATTCCATATATGGAATAGCCCAAAAAAGGGTCAATGAATACATAACCTCAAAGGACGAAGAATCATTTCGACCCGATTTTCGTCTTTTAACTAAAATATGGACAAAAGTAGTGGCTAGCGATGGGCAATACTTTCAATGAGATTTTCTTGCAATTTTATTTAAGTAAAGCATTCATTTTCACCAAAATAATTCCGGAAATTAATCGATACACCCATCCTATTGGGTCATTTGAATCCATTGTGATCGTTGCAGAGTGTCATTTTATATGGCCACAAAGGAGCTTGTTGTACATCAAATTGACATGCTACCGGATGATGGAGTCAGTTGTCCAGATGAAATACCAAATAGATTTATCAGGCATTGTTTGGTTTCATTGCAGGGGCCAATCACAACATTGTTAAGAGAATCTCTTGAAACATGCAAGTACCACAGATTTTGAGAACGTCCTTTGTCAGACCGGTTTACAAAAACGGTGACAGAAACAACGTTCAAAATTACCGTGGTGTCGCTCTTCAGTAGACTGGCCCCCAAAATACAAAAGTTGAAATTTTTTCGCTCTTACCTCGGAATACTTTTCCATATGGTGTGCAAATAACATGTGTAAAGTTTCATGCCGATAGCTCAACGCTAGATGGTGCCGCAAGAGCTCGGTAGGTCATTATGTGAATTTATTGAAAAATGACGTTTTCAGTTAAAATAAAAATATCTTCGCACAACCATATCGACTCAAAATTGATGGTAATCGTCATTTTCCATCAAATACTTGCCACTGGTGAAGTTTCAAACAATTTGAATGAAAATAAAACACATTTCCATTCAAAATTTTCAATTCCAATTTCATCACCAAAAATGAAGGTTTTGTACCAAAAGTACAATAAACCTCCACAAATTAATCTCATTTGAAGTTAGAATACTTTCATAACAAAACTAATGTGATTTCACTTTGGTATACATCCATTTGAACGCATCGTATAGCTGGAAAACTGTCATTTGCATAGCAAATTGTGAGCAATGAACGTGGGGCCAAAATATGAATATGAAACATGATTTATCCGAACTATAATTCACTTCTTAACCTATTTCAATGACTGAATTCGATCAATTTTGAAAATATAAACAATATCAATGCTGTTGGAAAGCGTTCTGGCCCGATTTGCGCATTGCTATACTGGCCGAGGTGAATGTATGTTTTCAACTCGCAATATAATATGGATCATTTTATGAAGAACCAAAAGTGAGATTCAATTGGTTTTATATCATAAATGTTATACTGAAATCGATAGAATATCATAAAATTTCATGGTATATCACATCTAGGGCCGTGTAAGTGTTATCAAGTTATCAAAATTTGGAAATTTTCGATTAGGTGATAAATACCTTTTAAAGCAGTTTTTTTTT